ACTCCTGGGTTCTTCCAGGAATCATATCAGAACATTAATTATCCAGTTGGTGTAGTACAACATTGATGTCATGTGCTGAAGTGTTGCTTTAAGCTAGTGGTTCCAGAATTCAGCAAAAAACAGGACGTTAGCATTCACTTGTTCAAAAGCAGATAAAATAAATTCACATTTCTGTCCTACCTCTGGCCTAACAATACACCCCAGATTTGGAAGTACTTGAATGGAACAGAATCCTTTTGACTCATCTCTAATATCATTTACTGTCCTTTACACAATTTCACGTTACCACCTATTAATTCAGGAATATGTTGTTGTGGAAATGAGGGACGTCAGGTAAGACTCATGTCTTTACAGATGGTGAAATGAGATTATAAAATGGTCACGAATTCCCACTGATTCAGTAGAAGGCTAGAATGCTGTGGAAATCTGATAAAAACTGGAGCTCAAAATTATGCAGGTTTTTGCTAAGACTTGTGGCACTGGTTGTATAATATACTATATAATTTCTTTCATACATTTGTTATTCCCTTTGCTTGAAGTGACATGTACTGATGAAAGCCCTAGTGTTCAACTGCACGGCCTCGCTCGTGCTGGCTACAGGCAGCAAATCATTTGCCATCACCCTGGAAAAGAGCTGTAGGTTTAGAATGAACAGTTTTCCCTCTCACCATTAAACACTGGTAAAGGACACAGGATTTGCAGTAAAATCATTTAAAATACAAGCTAATAATATATTTGGCAAAATTCTGATTTAATTTGCGTGAACATATATTAGCTATTGTTGCTTTGAAATGTTTCTTAATATACCTTTAAGCAGGGGTGAAAGTAACTCCGAAGACTTACTGGTACAGGGGCTGGGCCTTGGGCGGAAAAGGCGGGGCTGTGGGGGTCAGCGTCCCCCAGCCAGCCCTTCCCCGCCACCTGGCTCGCGCCACCCGGGGCTCCAGGGCCCGGGGCAGCTGCTCCCTTCCCTCCACCCCCATCAACGGCTGGGGGGGCAAAAGTGGCAACGATGTTAAAGCGCTGCCGTGGCAGCGCTTTAAGCAGGGTCCTTTGCTGCGACTGCGCTTTAACGTTGCTGTCCCTTCCCCCCCCTCCATCGGCGGCCCTGCTGGTACGGACTCTACCAGCAGGGCCGCCGACAGGGGAGGGACGTAAAAGCCCTGCCGCGGCAGCGCTTTTATGTGGGCTGAGTATGGGCTGGTACCGGCTTCTTACCAGCACGCCGTACCGGCCCGTACCGGCTCCCTTTCACCCCTGCCTTTAAGAGAAAGTCTTCAGCTGTCAGAAACAGCTCTTCAGATTTGCTGGTCTTGCCTATATCCTTCAGGAAATTAGCAGCATAGCATATCTGTGATGGGTTCTCCGGGGTGCAGCCTGGAGCTGGGATACCACTGAGCTCTCTGGCTTACCAACCTAGGTTCCCTCTCACACTGTGATGCTGTGACAAACTACACAAACCTCTCCAGATATTGCACATAACACAGACGTCCACAGGCAGGGACACACCCAACTGCGTTACATGAACGCTTTTGCAAGCTATTCATGAACCGACAATAGAGAGACTCCAGCCAATTCCCCACAGCTCCCCAACCTAGGAACCCACAGCTCTACCCTCCTCCCCACCCGTGACGGCAGAGTGGCATGGGAAAGTTACCCTTAATGGGGCAAGAAACAAAGCAGCTCTGCCAAAGAACCAGCGGCAGCGGATTGCTCAGTATCTCCATGAGAGTTTCGTGGCGATCTCTGAGGCAGATTCCCATGATGTGAGGGAGTCAATCAACACCCTGTTCCGCCGCTCAGATTAGGCACATAGTGGTACGCACATCATACAGACACAAGCCTGCTTTCCGCAACCCTCCTGACCCCAACAACTCGCTTCAGCGATTCCCAAAATCAAATCCTCTTACTAGAGGCCTCCTCTCCTGTTTGCACTTCACCAAGATCCGACAGCTGTGACTGGCTCGCCTCCTCCAGGGTAGAGAAGAGTTCCTGGCTGCATGCATCTCTGACCTCCGAGTTGTCCTCTGCGCCTCTGGGTCCCCTTCCACATCCTCATCCAAGATTTCCTCCTCCTGGCTCGGTCTACTCTTGTCTAGCACGCAAGCCACCGAAGTATCCACAGTGGCCTTTGCAGTGGAGGAGTATCGCGTCCAGCAGCTCATGAGTGCAGCGCCAGAACGACAGTTTGCCACCTACACCTTGTGGTAGGCATTCCGCAGCTCCTTCACTTTGACCCTGCACTGCAACGTGTCCCAGACATGGCCCCTTTCTGTCATGCATCGTGAAATCTGCCTGGCTGCTTCTGCTTCCATTTCTTTGGAAGCCTCCAGTTTTCTCTGTTCTCAGGTTTCCTCAGCCTCTAGCTGTCTCAGTTCCATGGTCCTCGGATGTGCAGCCTTTTGCTCATCCATTTCCATCCGTTTCAATTCTATTTTCTTCTACTTGCAACCAGCAGAGCTCCAACTTTTTGGTTGCTTCACTTTCTCTCACTTTCCTGCTTTTCCTCTCCCTACTTCCCTTTCCCAAAATAAGCAAACAGAAAATAACAAACCAATAACCACTTTGTGTGTTCTCTAGCCAACACACTTAAAACTCACTTAAAATCACCACCAATATCTTAAGGGCAATAAGCTGTGCCCATGACCCTGCTTGCTGCGCCACTGTGATGGATTGGACTCCCTTCTGGGATGCCACCTGATGTACTGGGATTTCACTGAGCCTCTCCTGCTCCACCAGCCTGGCTTCCCACTCCCTGTTTTGCTGAATTAGGCTCCCCGGCCTCTTGCAGAACACACACACACACAGAGGTAGGGCCACACCCAGCTGCAGCCACAGACTGAAGTCAGCTCTGTGTGAGAGGACGCCCCCAGCACTCACGTGCACACCCCTTTTGGGAGATAAACCCCAAATAATACTGTCTTGCACTGTATAGAAAAATCTGCACAGTGCAAACTCATAAAAATCCGCCCTCTTCCTCAATGTGAAGAGAGATGAGCATGACTTCTTGCCCCCCTCCAGTTAGAAATTACATAAACTGGGTTTAATAATAAACCAATTAAGTTTATTAACTATAAAAGGCAGATTTTAAGTGGTTGAAGGGATAGCAAACAGAACAAAGCAGATTACCTTAGTAAACAAACAAAAGCCGCAAACTGAGTTTAACACATTAGATAGGTAGGATACAAATTAGCAAATTCTCACCCTGAGTGATAAACAGGCTGGCAGATTCTTAAGGCACAGGTTGTCTTGGCTTTCCCAGGTTTTTATGCACAGGCTAAAGATCTTAGCGTGGGACCATCACTTCTCACAGTGCAGTCTTTGCTCCCCTGGTGTTTTCAGGTGTGTTGTTGTAGGGAAAGTAAGGACCCCTCATGTTGTCATTGTCCCTCTTTTATATCTTCCCCACATGTGCTGGAAAGCTTTTTTGCAGTGACCTGGGTCAAACAGTTCCCACTGTGTGTAGCTATCTCTGGGAGGTTTCTATTGCACACAGTTCCTGGAGTAATCCTTATGATTGTGTGCATTTCTTCAATAAGCCACTAACATTGTTTGGCCTCATCCAATGTAGCTCATTTGAAATACAGACATGGTCAATATTCCCATCTTCAGATTCAAAAATGATACATGCATACAAATTGGATAAACACATTCCATAAATCATAGCCTTTCCAATGATACCTTACATGAGTCATCTTGCATAAACTACATCTCAGTTATGTCATATCCATATCATAAGCATATTTCCTTAAAGGATATGGAGCATAATGTCACAAAGATCACCTAGGATTTGAGAGAAAGTCACACAAATCTTTCCAGTTGCCACTCATTGGCATATGCCATGGTAACTCTTGATACAATCTCCAAAAATTGCTTCGCTGTTGGAAGTACTGAGTAGAGACTCAATGTGAATGTGTCTTTTTGTTCAGGGGGTTCTGAAAAGAACTTAGGGTGCTTTTTCTGATGGGTGTGAGCATACCTGGTTACAAAAATAATCACATTTTAACCCTTTATTAGTCTTTTACACTAGAGATATGTGCATAATCCCTCAGTTGCAGTACCCTTTTCCTTTGCAGTGCCATTTAGCTTGAAAGATAAATCTTTCTATTATTCTTCCCCTTTTCTACATGGATTACTTCTGAGGAAAAGGATACAGTCAAATATATGCAACTTCATTTTTTAGTTTAAGGATTCTTTCAAGATAACACTCTTGTTCCATTTAGTTAGGCATTTTCAAATACACCTGTGCTGACTAGTTTACAATAATTGAAATGCATATAAACACTCATATAACACTCAGTTGTACCTTGAAGGGATTGGCCTGCCTTTAGTGCACAGCAGATTTGCCAAGCCCAGCAGGAACTCCAGGAATCATTGTGTTGAGACAGTCCCGAGTACAAGGACTGCTCCTGGTCACCTCAGGACTGGCTCTAACCATTCCAAAAAGAGAAGGTTGAAGGAGTTTTGCCTAAATAAGATTTGCAGAATCTGATCCTGTTTAAGCAACAACACATTCTGCTGAAACTCCATCCTGATCTTGCCCTGTTGTGCTATGTGAACATTGCATCCATTTACTACATATGGTCAGTTTGGCCTCCCCCTGCTTGCAGATCCCAATAAAGGTGGGGAAAATTAAAGAAGGGCATTTCAGCCAAAACTCAGAAGTTCTATTTGAAGTAAATCATAAACTAAAATTGGTACATTCATGTTTTAAATGATTTTTAAGTGAGAACATCCAGGGAAAGCATATACTATAAAAGTATTGTATGACAGGTAAAAGCTTTAAAAAAAAAAAAAAAAACAACAAACATTACAGTTCGCATCCGATGAAGTGAGCTGTAGCTCACGAAAGCTTATGCTCAAATAAATTTGTTAGTCTCTAAGGTGCCACAAGTCCTCCTTTTCTTATCACAGTTCAAGAAAAAACTGTCTGCATCCTGGGAATCTGAGTTTCTTGAACAATTTGCTCACTAGATCTTATTACACCTGATCTTACTTACCAAGCAGCTGATGCTCTCTGGCTTCTTGCCACGGCCTGTGACTAAAGTGCAATAGGCCATCAGGTTTCTCCTGGATCTACTTTGTGGTAGAATTACGAAATGCTGCACAGTGACAGGGAGTTTCTACTTTACATTCATCTGCACAGCCCAGAATGTTCAAAATGTGCAGGATCTCATTGTCAGCAAGCCCACAAGAAGAAGCACCTAGTAAGCACAAAGCATCTGCCACACAGCCTTTCATTCCTAAAAAGGGCAAAAAGAAATTTGTTTAACCTGGACAGCATTTAAAATACTATTTAGTACAACTTAAGCACTAGTAATTGTTCTAAAATCTCTTTGTGAAAGTATTTTCTTGAATTTTGTTGTATTAAAAAAGTAGGATCATGACATGAAGCTTGCTACAAAGCTGCAGATCTACAGAACCATTATTTACCAACTCTGTTGTATGACAATGAACCGCGGGGGCTGAGAGCACTGAATTTATTATTTTGATTCTTGTCGTCTTCACCAACTGGTCCACATTAAGTGGCAGGACAAGCCAAACCAGCAGCCACCTCTATCAGCACTGATTCCATTTCAGCCTCTTTGTATGTACATATTAGGAAGGAAGACCAACAAGTTCCAAAGTGTGTTTCCAAAGGAATGCTGCTACACCACTGGCAATCATGTGGTTAACAAGGCTTTCGTGGAATGAGAAGATCTATTTATGCATTGACTATATAAATAATCAGCTTTCAGGCTTGATTCTCCACTGCCTTGCACCTTGTGGAGTCATTTACACCCATATAAATTCACTGCAAATCAGCATGGTAGCTTTTTGTACCCACTTTGCTTATGTTAAGGGCTATGCAAGTGCAAGCCAGTCAAGAATCAGCCCATTCACTTTTTAATTACTTTTTTGTTTAAAGACTTAATTTTGAAACCACTATTGCAGCAGATTGGAAACTGGCTCAGCCTCTTCCATAAGGTTCCAAGTGCCACATATGTCACATTTCAGCAGGACACGCACAACCAGAAATAGGATCAGAAATGTCAATTGTAACTAAAATTGTAAGCCAAATTCTGTTGTTGGACCACTTGGCCATAAAGACAGGTACAGCGACATACTGCAAATGCAGCAAAATTATATGTACAAATAACTGCATGTAGCTGTGTGATGTGGTATACAAACCCCGCACTCGAAAGCAAGGGTTAAGGAACAGTTCTGGGCCTAGCAGGGCTGGTGCAAGGATATTTTGCGCCCTAGGTGAAACTTCCACCTTGCGCCTCCCCCCCGCACATCAGTTCATTGAGGGGCAAATCCCAACGAGCCTTTATAGCTCTAACTGCACCTGTTACCTCTTGATTATTAAAAAGATATTTCTTAATGATCAGTAATGAATACAGTCATACAAGGGAAGAAGGGATATTTTATTATTGGGTTATAAATCTTTTTCCTCTTATAATATAAATCATACACGCTGCTAAGAAGGAAGGTCTTGTGTGAGAGTCACATGCCTGGTAGTGAGCAGATCCATGTTCTATTCCCAGCTTTTTCTCAGAATTCCTGCAAAACACAAATTCTTCTCCCTTGCAAGGCAAATCAGAGGAACATCTAGAAGAGCTAGCTCTTAAATAGACGTATCCTTGGGCCAACATGACACCCATATGCCTCATTTTCAATTGAATAGGCACATTGCCTCCCAAGAACTCCAGCGAGCAGGGATCGGGCATGTGCATGGTACAACATCCCTAGAGGACATGCTACCATATTTGCAACCAGTGTGGAGAAAGGTGTAAGGGGAACATGACCAAGGCTGCAGCCCAGCACCTTTCGAGGGAATTTGTGCACCAAGGGTACCCAGAGCGAGTCCCTTAAGCAGGACTACTTGCAACCATGTACTATGTGTCCTAGGGTACAGGACAACACGAATCTGTCAGTTTATGGTTAAAGAGCACTTCACATGCCATTGCATCTACTAACTGATGATTAGACAATACAGCACTGAAGCACTTGCATAACTTCAACCATGTGAGTAGTCCTGCTATGTTTAAAGTTACTCACATGCTTCAGTGCCTGTAGCATGGGGGCTGGAAAAATGCTGCTACTCTGGATGGATGGATTACCTTTCCCATGGCGTGGTGTTTTAAAAATATTAATATTAAAGATTTATATTGCCAGAGGCGTCAACCACGTTGGGGCCCCATTGTGCTAGGAACTAAATTGATACATAGTAGATGATAGTCCCCAGGTGTTTACAGTCTAAAGACATGATATAACAGGTGCATAGGCAAACAACTGGGCAGGTTGTCAGTGGTGTGTATGGCTGTGGGATGTTTCTTTTAGAATGAAATCCAAATTAATAAATAAAGTCACTTTGGCATAGACTACCAAGAATCAACTTTGCAGTTGACAAATCCTACTCAGTTAACTTTCAGCAACTTTCAATAACATCTAGGCTCTTTATCTCTTAGATAAAAAAAAATGTATTTCTCTCTCCCCATCCTCTGGAAACCTAACTACTTGGTGGCTTAGTTTCATAAATTCATAGATATTTAGGTCAGAAGGGACCATTATGATCATCTAGTCTGACCTCCTGCACAAAGCAGGCACAGAATTTCACCCACCACTCCTGCAAAAAACCTCTCACCTATGTCTGTGCTACTGAAGTCCTCAAATCGTGGTTTAAAGACTTCAAGGAGCAGAGAATCTTCCAGCAAGTGACCCGTGCCCCATGCTACAGAGGAAGGCGAAAAACCTACAGGGCCTCTTCCAATCTGCCCTGGAGGAAAATTCCTTCCCAACCCCAAATATGGCGATCAGCTAAACCCTGAGCATATGGGCAAGATTCATCAGCCAGATACTACAGAAAATTCTTTCCTGGGTAACTCAGATCCCACCCCATCTAATATCCCATCACAGGCCATTGGTCCTATTTACCATGAAAATTTAATTACCAAAACCATGTTATCCCATCATACCATCTCCTCCATAAACTTATCGAGTTTAATCTTAAAGGCAGATAGATCTTTTGCCCACACTGCTTCCCTTGGAAGGCTATTTCAGAACTTCACTTCCTCTGATGGTTAGAAACCTTCATCTAAATTTCCTGGTGGCCAGTTTATATCCATTTGTTCTTGTGTCCACATTGGTACTGAGCTTAAATAATTCCTCTCCCTCTCCGGTATTTATCCCTCTGATATATTTATAGAGAGCAATCATATCTCCCCTCAATCTTCTTTTAGTTAGGCTAAACAAGCCAAGCTCCTTGAGTCTCCTTTCATAAGGCAAGTTTTCCATTCCTCGGATCATCCTAGTAGCCCTTCTCTGTACCTGTTCCAGTTTGAATTCATCCTTCTTAAACATGGGAGACCAGACCTGCACACAGTATTCCAGGTGAGGTCTCACCAGTGCCTTGTATAATGGTACTAAAACCTACTTATCCCTACTGGAAATACCTCTCCTAATGCATCCCAAGACCGCATTAGCTTTTTTCACGGCCATATCACATTTGCGGCTCATAGTCATTCTGTGATCAACCAAGACCTTGCATATTACAGATGTCAAACTAACAGGCCTATAGTTACCTGGATCACTTTTTTTCCCATTCTTAAAAATAGGAACTATGTTCGCAATTCTCCAGTCATACGGTACAACCCCTGAGTTTACAAATTCATTAAAAATTCTTGCTAATGGGCTTGCAATTTCATGTGCCAATTCCTTTAATATTCTTGGATGAAGGTTATCTGGGCCCCCTGATTTAGTCCCATTAAGCTGTTTGAGTTTCTCTTCTACCTCAGATATGGTAATATCTACCTCCATATCCTCATTCCCATTTGTCATGCTACCGTTATCCCTAAGATCCTCTTTAGTCTTATTAAAGACTGAAGCAAAGTATTTGTTTAGATATTGGGCCATGCCTAGATTATCCTTGACCTCCACTCCATCCTCAGTGTTTAGCCGTCCCACTTCCTCTTTCTTTGTTTTCTTTTTATTTATATGGCTATAGAACCTTTTACTATTGGTTTTAATTCCCTTTGCAAGGTCCAACTCTACTTGACTTTTAGCCTATAGGGATAAAGTGCTTTTTATTTATATGGCTATAGAACCTTTTACTATTGGTTTTAATTCCCTTTGCAAGGTCCAACTCTACTTGACTTTTAGCCTATAGGGATAAAGTGAGACATGTTCGCACCTCAATAAGGTAGCTTTCCTTGCTGATCCCTCCCTTCTTCCACTTCCTGTATGCTTTCTGCTTTTTCTTAATCACTTCTCTGAGATGCTTGCTCATCCAGCTTGGTCTGCAACTCCTGCCTATGAATTTTTTCCCCCTTTCTTGGGATGCAGGCTTCCGATAGCTTCTGCAGCTTTGATTTAAAATAATCCGAGGCCTCCTCTACCTTTAGATCCATAAATTCTTCAGTCCAATCCACTTCCCTAACTAATTTCCTTAATTTTTGAAAGTCAGCCCTTTTGAAATCAAAAACCCTAGTTGCAGATTTATTTTTGTTAATCCTTCCGTTCAGTTTGAACTGAATTAGCTCATGATCACTTGAGCCAAGATTATCCCCTACAACCATTTCTTCTATGAGGTCCTCACTACTCACCAAAACCAAATCTAAAATGGCATCCCCTCTAATCGGTTCAGCAACTACTTGATGAAGGAATCCATCAGCTATCGCATCTAGGAAAATCTGAGCCCTATTGTTATTACTAGCACTCGTCCTCCAGTCTATACCTGGGAAGTTAAAGTCTCCCATGATCTCACAATTTCCATTAGTATTTACTTTATTAAAAATATTAAAAAGGACTCTATCAATATGCAAATTAGAACCCGGCGGTCTGTAGTACACCCCAAGCACTATCCCAGGGCAGGCTCTAATAATTTTTGTTAGAGGGCTTATTCCTTCACCCACTTACTTCCCTGGTCCTTCTCACATGAACAGAGAGCAACAATACCCGAAGTCCAAAGGTGCAAACAATTCGATGTTTATTGGGGTGAACTTCCAGCAGGCCTGATTCCAGTTTCCTTCCTTAGTATCCTCCTTCCCAGCTCTGACACCACAGAGCCTTACACCTATGTCCCTGTTCCCATTCCTACCCTTAGCCAAACATGATTCCAACTTCCTTACTCCCATTCCCTGTTCCCATTTCCCCCTTTAGCAAAACATGATTCCAATTTTCTTACCCCCATTCCCTGTTCCCATCTCCCCCTTTAGCAAAACATGATTCCAATTTTCTTACCCCCATTCCCTGTTCCCAT